TAAGCACGCAATGCGCATACCGTTTTTGCTCCTCTAGGATTTGTGTATGAAAACTGAAAAGTAACCGTAACGGCAAGAAATCGTAGAATTATCTTGGTGATTAAGAACGGTCTTTTGTTGAGAGCAACCCAAGTTTTCTCCAAGAACTCGGGTTACCAAGAAGAGGGAAGAGAAGAAGAAGGATACCAAGGGCCAGAACCTTAAGGGCTTCCATACTGCTGTCTCCGACACTATCGACATCTTGATATGTTCGCAGAGTGAGGTCTTACTAGCGATATTATGTATCTTACGTATTTTATTGTATTCGACACTATAGTTTTGGTTTAGTGTAAAGAGAGTGTATCTATTTTTTGGGAATAAATAAATACAAGTTTTGTTTTCGGCCAATAATGGCTATAGTTGTCTATCCGAAAGCTAGTAATGTAATAATTCTTTAAATATTTACTATGCTTTTAATTATTAATAATATAATAAACACCTAATATTATTTCTTTCATTAGGTATGTATATTGTCTATTCGCCACCTGTCGCGTTGACAACTGACAGGCATCTGTCTTGTTGACAATTGTCTATTATAGAGGTAAGACTCAGAGACGTTAGCGCTGACTACTGAATAAAATAATGTATTGATACCTGTGCATTCCTGTGATGTTTTACTCCACCGAGCAAGTATTAATTACGTATTTATACATAAAGGTCACACAAACGGGAAAGCATGATAATAATTAGAAATCACTCACCTAGTGGCGCTTGATTCGCGCTATTCGGAATTACAATAATATTTAATTTACAGTCACCCTACCACTAGAGCCAGTAGGAGATTAAGGCAACCCCCTCCAGACAACTACGGTGATGTAACGGGGAATAAGCTTTTACTTTAAACCTCTCATTTCGCCTTCAATTATACATGTTACAGAATATTATGTTATTAACTTTTTGAATGTGTTTAAATTATTAATCAAATGTTGAAGTAAAACCTTCTGCCTTGTACTTCTAGTTTTTATGTTTAACTTGTTTACGCAAATAATTCTAAAGTTATGATTTATGTCTGTTTGGTATTTAAACTAAAACTAAAAAAATACTGAAGAAAAGTTTTATGCATCTGTCAATTAGCATATAGATAATAATGCACATTATTAGCATAGCGAGAAAACCTTTTAATGCCCCCTGAATGCTTCTTTGGGTTTTACCAAAATCTTTTTTAATCCGTAGACAAAGTAGCAAACACTAAAAATCTTCCCGTTTTTTAGCTGTACCCAAATCTGGAATATCATTGCGAATGGCATTCCCTCCTTCTCCATTCATAAATTATCCAGATGTTTTGTTATTTATTTAAAAAAACTCAAATAAATCAACCAATGTATCAAGCAACTTAAACAAATGCTTAATAATAATAATAATAATGTATTTGCACATTATGTTACAAAAAAGTTACGGTGGTACAATCTGAAGTTCGCATAACCATCATAAACACATAGTGGCGTGCAAATTTGTCTTAAAAGGTAGAATATAAGTTACAGTATTAGGTTCTAGCACTATAAGGTTTTTTAAGGAAATAGCTAAAAGTCACAGGAGACTGAAGAGCTGGCAGCGACCTCGGAGAAAGAATTAGTCTAGCTATTCAAAGGGAGAGCGCTGCCAGCATCTTCGGAACCTTGCCTAAAGGGATTCCTTATAATAATATATTTATGTTATTTTATATATTTTCAAAGTTAAAATTACATAATGAGTCATCTCATTATAGTCAATTCTTATATTAATTTAACACCACATCACGTTATTAAAATTATATTAATTATAATGTTTCACCCAAATAATCATTATTATGATGTTGGAATATTTTACCATAGAAATCAACTCTAGTACACTTATCTTCCATAAATATATTATCTTTACAAGAATATTTTCCTAAACATAAACCAATTCCGCGCAATAGACTTCAATCTATATTCTTCCGAACGGATATTAACTTCAAACCGAATCTAATAACAGAACGACGTCGCTGAGGAAAACTGCTTTTCATAGGGCTTTCATATAATAGAGCCGACAAGTGTTACTCAAATAAATGTGAATATCAAAGTGTTTTATGTTCGTACAATCCTAATTAATGAACTAACGTTGGGCTAATTTAATATGCACATTTGACACCTCTTCAAAACTTTTTCGAAGTAAGACCTGGAGTAATATAATATATAAAATTCTCGTGTCACAAATCAAATCAAAATCAAAATACGTTTATTCAATTTAGATGCGTCTTAGCGCATGCTTATGAATGTCAAAAACGTTTACAAAATTCGTGAAAGAGCAAGACTACGCCACAATGTTCCCATACTTCTCCGAAACGGCTCGACCGATTTTTATGAAATCTTTTATTCATATTCAGTAAGTCTGAGAATCGGCTACTATCTATCTTTCAAACCCCTAAATGTAAAGGGTGTTCCACCCCTAAATTTTTATTTTTAATTTATAGATAAAATTTATTGTTTTGATTTTTTTATGATACAGCATACAAAAATACATACAATCCTTAATTTTCAACCCTCCACGATTAACCCCTATTTTTTTATATGTTAATTAAAAATTTATGACATGAACTCAAGGGTTTATATAGAGAAAAATCACAGAAAACCCTAAAAAGTTCTCATTCCGGAAAACCGAAGTCTCTGGGGTAGCATAGCAACATGTTGTACTAACCAGGTAGGCTAAGTATAATCACATTAAGGAGAAACGAAGTTCGGGGGGCAGCTATTATATATTATAATAATGATCAATTTCTGTTCTAAAGGGTGATCTGACGTTATAAGTTACATCATAACGTCGTATGAAGCTAAAACTGACAGATGTCAACTGGCTGTTGATATAATTGTCAACGTTGAATATGGATTTAAGAAATTATTGCAATACAAAAATGAACAGTGTTGGCCTTGTGGCTTCAGCGTGCAACTCTCATCCCTGAGGGTCATAGGTTCAATCCCCAGCTGTGTCAATGGACTTTCTGACTATGTGCGCATCTAACACTAGCTAGTACAATGACAGACAAATTGCTCACCGACTTGTCTATGAAATTAAAATGATCAAATATGTGGATGTGATCTAAACTCAAGACCCATATAGGGTTGTAGTGCAATTGGATTATATATATTATAATTTTATACAATAAAGTTGATTTAATTAAAAAGATAAAAAGGATAAAATGCGTCGGTTTTCATTACATTTAGAGCAATTTTTCAGATTTTTAAAATGCACGCAAACTTTTGGAGTGGCTTCAATGAAAGTCGAGCGTTCGCTGTTTATATTTCAAACTAAATAAAAATCGTCGAAGTTGAAACTTTAAGTGGGTTTATGTTATTTTATATTGCGAATTTTATAAACGTTATAATTTTTGAAAGTTTCCTTTTTTCAGGTGTTTTTTCGGTTTTTTTGAAGTCGGTTAAAAATGTTTTCAGCTGAAATATAACAGAAATTATACTAACTAACTAAATAGGTCAATACAGCTTGTTTAGCCAAAATATGGCAAATATATTAGTTAATAAAAATATAAATATAAATCGTAAAAGCCTATGAACGTTTTTCTTAATAAATATGAATATGTTTATATCTTCTTATTAAAGTTATATGTTCACTTTTATAGAATAGTGATATTTAATTTATATTTTTTTATGGAACAGGGGGCAGGAGGCTCACCTCCTTAAGTTATACCTCCGCCCATGGACACTCTCAATGCCAGAGAGCTCGCGAGTGCGTTGCCGGCCTTTTAATTAAAATAATAATTTTGCTTGGAATTTTCTATATATAGTCGACAACAATTTGCAAATGTTAGTAATATAAGCAGACAAGGTTTAAAAATCTTTATTGGGACGGTTATTTCTGTATGAAATTTCAAATTAAATATTTAGGATCTGTTTCACAATGTACGGATACGTTCCAATTTGGAATTTGGAATAAATGGCTAATTTGAAACTTCCAAATTATTTAAAAGTGTGATTTCACTTAAATTGGTGCGACTGGAAAATTATGAATGTTTAATTAGACATTTCACACAGATTTAATTAATAAATAATTTGTAATGGTTTTTAAAATCTTGTCAGCTTATTACTATTAGGTTAGTTTAGTTATTCGTATACCGTTATAAATACAAGTACCGTTAAACCGTTATAAATATAAGTAAACATTAAATATTTTATGAGATACAAGCCATAGTTTAAGAGGTGAAAAGAAGTGTTTACGAAGATGCCTATACAATCATCAAGCGGGAAATGTCTCATTTCAAAGTCAAACTAAATTACGGATAAAAAGCACTTTAATACTATTATAATATGTATTTCTATTTTGGCTAAATTTTTTTATGGCTCTGGCACGATTTGTGCATTAGCCAGCGTCAAGTATAGGATTTTTTCTAATTAGTGCTTGTCTTTAGAAATTCGACCGTGTCCTCCATGTACGGTTAAAGCACTCGCCCGGTACCGCACAACCCTCCCAAAGGCCGAGAACAAATTTAAATTAAATTAAAACGTGCCCTCGAACCGGGAATCGTACCCGGTACCCCGCACCTAGCTGCCACTTAATAAGACCGCTAGGCTATGAGGCCCCCTTTTGGCAAATTAAAAACGTTTAGGCACTTTGGACATCCTCTCAACAGACCAGAGGCTTTTAAAATTAAGTAAAACATAAAATAATACTTCTTATTTGAAAAGAGGTTATAATAAATAATAAGAGAAAATATATGTTTGCTATTATTTATTTGTAATAATTGATTACACACAATTAAGCATTGCTTGCTAATTTATAACCTGTATTGTCACTTTTTGTTTGTTTGTTTACATAACGCCAATACTTTAAACCTTATAGCTAATTTTTTTTATTTCGAATACAATATCATTCAACTATCTATATCACTAATAAATTGACAGTGATTTTGTTGATTAATACAGCCGACAATACCAATTCTTCATATTTGTCTTATCTCTATGCTTATCCGAATTAAAGACAGTATAAACTATTTAAAATGATTTCATAAAGTTAAACTTAAACGCCGGTTCCCAGCTACTCTTTGGTATGAAGGGAGAAAAGGATCGCGTTGCACCTGCGCCGAAATCGAGTGAAGAGCTAGGCGTCTTGAAGAGATTTAGTTTTCCCATCGCAGATACATCAGTCTTTTGAAGGAAATCAGTGCGTGCTGCGCCTAGTGAAGCTCCGAGTGTGTTCCTGAAACATTATATACGATTTTATGAGCACAAATCTAATGAATTTGTAAACAAAGTTGTAAACTATCGCAACAACATAATTATATTTTTTTTTATCACAGGTCAAGCTATGGTTAACGTAAATTACCAAATGAATTGTATCGAAATGTTAAATTGATACTCACTTGTACATGTAATCCGCGCCTGCGCCGTAGGTGTTGAAGTTGGGTACATTCGGTATACTTGGCATGTTCTTTGTAACAAACGCATTTGCGTTCAAATTGTGGTCAGGTGTATTGAGAACATTCAAGTTGGCTGCAGCTGTCAATTGCTTCCCGAAGTCTGGGATCTGTCTGCCAGACAGGCTGAGACCGTGGCCATTTCTAAAAAGTTCAATTTGAAGCTATATAAAGAGTTTACTATTCGTCTAATTCATAATACCTGAGTGATCTAGAGTACTCTTATGTCTCTTTCTGGCAACTCATGTTTAGGATTTGAAAGACTGAGACAAGTGTTTTACTACCAAGCACCAAAAAAGTGATTTAGTTTTATGAATTTAAACCGTAACATAATAAACTCTACAAGAAACTATTTAAATTATTAATAACCTTTACATTAATATGTCTTCGTACCTGTCGTCTATTAATGTTTTGCCTGGAAGAGATTGCTTTAAGGCCGTCCGTTGCACTATGCATTTATTAGCGAGTACAATCTATAGATAAATTTATCACACTTACATATTATCCAAAGCCACACCAGCTCCATACGAGGTCAGCTTGTTGCTAGGATCCATCGTAGCCATACCAGTTGCACTGAGAATGTTAGTGTCAGACTTCGCAAGCGGCACTTTCCCTGCCAAGTCCCAGTTCCCCTTATTATCAAGACCAGCTCCCACCTGCACTTGTCTCCTTACCCTCGAATGTTCAATTAATTCAGGCAAATAATCTTCGTCAATTAGAATGTATCTACAGTTAATGCCGGCCAATAAAGCGGCAAAGATCAAAGTTTTGAAAAACATTTTTAATTGTTATATGTGAGAACTCTCGTTACTAAGATGCGAATGGATGCTGTGTGCTTGGTCCAGCCTTATATACGTATGATTGGGGAGCGAAAAAGTCCCGGAGACGTTATCAAGTTACATAGTTGACTGGATGTGACCTTACGGTTTAGTTTCTTTGTTTACTATAATAAGAAGATAATATAATTTTACAAAATCTTTTAAATTTATTGAGTAAAATCTAGAATAGAATATTGGTTAGTTTGTATTTGAAATTAAACTTCTTTTAGCGCGTTAAGGATAAAGGATTAGAGTAAATTGTTACGATACGCGCGCACACCGTCACGAAAAACTGACACCCGTACACCGTCACAAAAAACCGAAGTTAGCAATAGTCAACATTTTAAAATATAAAATGGCCTTTTCTTTAATTATTTAGAAATATTTTTTTGTAATATTTAAATAAACTTTATTTAAATAGATAAAGCGTTATAATTATACTTTCAACGTATTTAATACATTTTTTCTACAAACGTAGAATAAGGCGAAAGATAAAATTTTTAAAATGATTTTTATCTTGGCGTACCAAAGAAGTATAACTTCTAACGCGTGAACATGTTTTTCGTTCTTCATTCATTTTTTTGTTAGATTTAATTTGAAGTTATATCCATCGCTACCAATAATTATTATTAATCATAAAGTTATCCTTATGTGTATTATTTTATAGTTATGGTTTGATTTTTATTTGTTACAAAGTTAGTAAAATTCCTTTCAAATAGGTATTTAAGCTATCTCTATAGGTATATATAAAATTCTCGTGTCACAATGTTCGTTCCCATACTCCTCCGAAACAGCTCGACCGATTCTTATGAAATTTTTACTAGCTACTATCTATATTTCAAACCCCTAAGTGGTAAGGGGTGTCCACCCCACATTTTTAATTTTTACTTTTTCAAACATACTTTTGGTTTTATTTTTTTACATACAAAAATAAACACAACCCCTACTTTTCACCCCTCTACGACCAACCCATATTTTTAAGTAGGTATAGTAGGTAGTTATTTTTATTGAATTAAAAAAATGTTTCCTAGAAATAATATACATGGCAAAACAACGTTTGCCGGGTCAGCTAGTATTATTATATTATAGTATATTTTAAGAAATCTAGGTTTTCACATCCTATAAACCCGACGCTACGTAATGATTGTGTCGCGTGCGTTATTTGAGGCAGAAGCAATAGTTGTTTCTCCGAAATCCAATGTCAAATTAGGAATATCAGTATTACTCGTGATGCAAAGTGATTTTGTTTTTTTAGTGCCTCTCCATAACTTGAGGTTGTCCGTCAGTCTCTTCTCAATACTCTGGTTGGGTAAACACTCTCAAACCTTACACACCAATTTATGACGGTGGTAGCGGTTATGGTGCAATATGCAACTTTCCGTTTCTTAATGTTCTTCAAAATGTCTCCCGACATTGCAACACGATCAACATCTGGATGCTAATATGAAGCATGCGACAATAATACTAGATGCTTCTAAACGCTTCGTGTGTTGCTTAGTTATAACCACTTTTTTTGAAGTGAAACTTCTTTAGGGTAAAATTTTTACGGAACGGTACGAAGATGTGCAGCGTTTTTGGCGAAGAATAGAGAGACAGCGATTGAGAGAGAGAAGGGTGAATTACCTTGTAGAAATTCTATTTTAAAATTAAAATTTCGTAAAGAGAATTTTTGAAATATTAGTATTTTATATTTTATGCAAAATAATTTATTGAAATCTCAAATGACGAATTGTAAATTAAAATGCCACGTGTTTTTATTATCAGAGAAATAAATAAAAAAAACTAAAATTTATTATTTGTATTAATTTACGACACTAAATATTTTAATGACAATTAAATTCATTAAATTCTTAACTTATTTTCCCTTTTCCCTCCCTCTAAGTCTCGGAAATCTATATGAGCAAGAGATAAAAATTACTTTGCCGAAGAAGTTTCACTTCTGACGTGTACTTTGTACGCACGCACTTTTTTTTATAAAGACTTCGTCAATCGTGTGGTAGTTAGTATAAGCGAACCCGCAAGTTAGAAATAACAAAGAAAATAATAAAAGTTTTAACTACAAAGCTAAGTAAGCACTAACGTACATATGCACGGAAGAGGTTTAAGGGGATTCACATTGCTATTATTTGGTTATCATCTAATTAAGATAGGTACATAATATAATAATTATGAGGTCAGACATCAAGAGATATCGAGGGAATTCCTCGGCTGACGAAGATATAGGGTACAAGAAACAACTCATTTTTTATTTATAATAAGTATTTGCTTTAATTTATTTTAATGAAAATAATATAGTAAAAAAAATATTATAACTAATTTTACTAATTATTATTTATAAATTCAAACGTAAACCATAAATTTAAAATAATACATGTAAGCATAACTTTATGATAATTATTATTATTAAAATAAACAAAACACTAAGTGTAAAATAATTTATATGGTAACGATGGATACTACTGCCAATTAAATCTAACCAAAAATCATTGAAGAACAAAAAAACATACAAAGTAAGTATTATACTTTTAAAAATCTTATAAATTTTACATTTTTTTAAATTAAAGATTATTAGTTATTATTAGAAGATTACTGTCGTAAACAAAGAAACTAAGACGTAAGCCACATCCAGTCAACTATATAAATTGATAACGTCTCCGGGACTTTTTCGCTCCCCAATCATACGTATATAAGCCTGGACCAAGCATACAGCATCCATTCGCATCTTAGTTACGAGAGTTTTAACATACAAAAAATAAAAAATGTTTTTTAAAACTTTGATCTTTGCCGTTTTATTGGCCGGAATTAACTGTAGATACATTTTAATTGACGAAGATTATTTGCCTGAATTAATTGAGCATTCGAGGGTAAGGAGACAAGTGCAGGTGGGAGCTGGTCTTGATAATAAGGGGAACTGGGACTTGGCAGGCAAAGTGCCGCTTGCGAAGTCTGATACCAACATTCTCAGTGCAACTGGTATGGCTACGATGGACCCTAGCAACAAGCTGACCTCGTATGGAGCTGGTGTGGCTTTGGATAATATGTAAGTGTTATAAAGTTATCTATAGATAGTACTCGCTAATAAATCCTTAGTGCAACGGGCTGCCTTAAAGCAATCTCTTCCAGGAAAAACATTAATAGACGACAGGTACGAAGACATAATGTAAAGGTTATTAATAATTTAAATAGTTTCTTGTAGAGTTTATTATTTTACGGTTTAAATTCATAAAACTAAATTAGTTTTTTGGTGACTTTGTAGCAAAACACTTGTCTCAGTCTTTCAAAACCTAAACATGAGTTGCCAGAAAGAGACATAAGAGTTCTCTAGATCATTCAGGTATTTTGAATTAGACGATTACTATACACTTTCTATAGCTTTAAATCGATCTTTTTAGAAATGGCCACGGACTCAGCCTATCAGGCAGACAGATCCCAGACTTCGGGAAGCAGTTGACAGCTGCAGCCAAGTTAAATGTTCTCAACACACCTAACCACAATTTGGACGCGAATGCGTTTGTTACAAAGAACATGCCAAGTATACCGAATGTACCCAACTTCAACACCTACGGCGCAGGCGCAGATTACATGTACAAGTGAGTATCAATTTAACATTTCGATACAATTCATTTGGTAATTTACGTTAACCATAGCTTACCTAACCTGTGATGACGATTATTATAATTTAATTAAATGCGATGGTTTAAAACTTTGTTTACAAATTGATTAGATTTAAGCTCTTATAATCGTAAATAATGTTTCAGGAACACACTTGGAGCTTCACTAGGCGCAGCACGCACTGATTTCCTTCAAAAGACTGATGTATCGGCGATGGGAAAACTAAACCTCTTCAAGACGCCTAGCTCTTCACTCGATTTCGGCGCTGGTGCAACGCGATCCTTTTCTCCCTTCATACCAAAGAGCAGCTGGGAACCGGCGTTTAAGTTTAACTTTATGAAATCATTTTAAATAGTTTAAAGTGTCTTAAATTCGGATAAGCATAGAAAAAAGATAAATATGAAGAATTGATATTTTCGACTGTATTAACATTTTGTATCTAATTGTATTGAACAGTTTTCTAGCACGTACGGTAGCGGAGACTTCTAAAAGTACACGTGCAATTTTATTTATAATAGTCTTGCCAAGCGTGCCTTTACAAACAGTAAGTCAATATTAGGTAGTGGGACACTGTCAATTTACTAGTGATATAGATAGTTCAATGATATTGTATTCGAAATTACAAAAGTTTAACTATAAGGTTTAAGTAATGGCGTTATGTAAACTTGAACTTAATATTTAAGTTCAAGTCCAATCTCAGTTAGTTAACATACAAATAATAGTTAACATATATTTTCGCTTTTCCTTATAACCCTTTTTCAAATAAGAAGCATTAGTTTATGGTTTAGTTAATATTGAACCCTATGTGTTGTTTGATGATTTGTTATTTTAAAAGAGTACCGAGAGTTTTTTACGCCGCCTTTTTCTCTCGGCCTACACCCTCTGTCTTCTTTGCCGATGAGTAGGGATGCCTACAAATTCAAATTTAATGACGTGGAATAAGTGATACATGTATCTTATGTTCCATAATAAACATACTTTATTTTTTATTTTATGGGTCTATTTAAAAGACGTCCAGAGGATGCATACACGTTCAACAAGTTTTTATACATTGGCTCACAAATTCAGTCCAGATTGATCGGATTCGATAATTAGGCAAAATATAAAAATATTAGTAGTAAAATGCTAGGTATCTATAATTTAGTTTGGCTTTAATTATAATTTAGTTGATGATTTTGTATAGGCAAGTTCGTAACGACTCCTTTCCATCTCTACATTTTAACTATTATCTTATAAAATAGTTAATATTTAACTGATACAGTAAAATATTTATAACAGTGTTTCCAATTAAATTAACTAAATTATATAGTCTTTTATAAAATATTATTTTTCTTTACTACGTATTTTCC